CAGAAAAATAGCCCACAGTCTTTGAATACTGAATCAAATAATCCATAGAATTATAGAGAATCTAGCAGCATTCTTTGGTATGTAGCCAAAGTGATAATCAGAGGCAAATTAATTCAGTGGTTTGAAAAACACAACCAACAAAATAGAATGGAGAAATAAGTCAATTAGAAAGAAAATGCCAGCATTAGGGAAGAGCATCAATATAATTAGGTCTAGACAGTCACAGCTAGGCTTGGATTCAATGTTAACTAATAGGAATGATTGAAATGTTTTATAAGTGTTTATAAAATGGCAGCAGTAAGGGGAGGATTCTGTATGGACTTTCTATAAACTAAATGGCAAATTAACATGGTAGCACGCCTGTAATCTCAGCATGTGGATATGGAGTCAGGAAGCAGGAAGTTCAAGGCCAACTTCAAACAAATAGTGGGTTCAGGGCTAACCTGGGCTGTGTATACATTCATACATAGGTGTACATGAAGTTTCAACTACTGCCAGTACTGGCTTGCACAATAAGGCCAGCATGCTCATTGTCCAGAATCCCAGAATCCGTGTAGACTACCCCTGTAGTAGCTGACACTTGTAGGGAAGTAGGCTTAGCCGAAGCTTTTGTCAGTGTATGGCCTAGCTGGTGGTGATCAAGGTCCAGAGGAATGCTTACAGCTCTGTAGTAGCACTTACGGTGGGTTCTTCCGTGTACAGGGCCTGTAGTCCTTTCACATGCCAGCAACTAGGCATATGACTGTGTCCTCTGTACAGTGCAGACCTCATGGAACTATGGAGTGGTGCTAACAAACCAGGCTATCCCATCCCTTACTGTGTTAGACTTGCTTTCTAAGCCTTCATTTGGATGAGGAATTTAAAGGTGTTCTTGGTCTTCAAGCTCATCCATTTTAGCATTCTCAAGTTTAGTTTCTACTTCGTTCTCCGGACTGACTTACGTGTGTCATACTGACGGCTTTCGCCTCTGTGCTCCTAGTAAACGTCTTAGGCACACGAAGCCTCCATATCCTTGCGAACAACCTCTCAACTGCTTAGTTTCTGTCAGGCTCCCACTGTAGCCCTCTTGGAGACCTACTGGAGAGGGTCCCCACTCGCGTCCTAGCCATTGGGGTAGCACAGCGAGTTACAGCCTGGCAGGCTGCCACAGGCTGTGGGGCTTCTGTGCCTCTCAGGGTGCTCTGGTGCTGTGATCTCTGGTTAGGATTTACAGGAAGTGCTTTCTCAGGCAAGAAGTCTTTTTCCTCAAAAACAACAGATCGAGTCTGCTGTCATCTACACCATGCCTTGACTGTAATTCGTGCTGGTTCTGACTTTGCAGTATTTCCTGTCATCTGGCTGACAGATTTTTAATACCTATGTGCACTGAATGCCATGCATTTTCTACAAGAGTGCTTTTTAAATCCCATAATTTATATATTTATATGCCTTACTAAAATGTGAAATCTCTATAATCCTCTCACTGTCCCCACCCCCAAAATCTTTCTTTCTCCTTCATAACCTAAAGATGAAAATGCCGGACCTCAAATGTAATATCACATACTTACTATGTGATGTTAGTCAAATCAGCTCACTGTTTTCCATAGCTACAGGATGAAATCTGGTTCCTCTGCCTTGACACACCCTAAGTTTTGTTATTTTGTGGGGCTGAAATGAAGGAGTAAGTGTGTATACTTGGTAAAAACGTGTTTACTCTTCAGGTACTACCTAAGGTTTGGAGTGTACTGGCAACAGGACAGAGTCCTAATGCTAGGGCGCCAGTGTTATAGCTGGAAACACATATGCTAGATGAGCAAACAAAGTCAGATCTGTACGTTTGTGCAGAAGGCCGTCTGAAGCAAGCCATGGTGCTGTTCCTGGGAGCACTGGGGAGAGACTTCTCCAAGGAGGTGCGTTAAGAAAGTGACCCATGAGGCCACACCTATTCAGAAGAAGGCACACTGTGTACTGAGCCAGTAAAAAACACATGCTGTACACAATCACACCAGTGAATAGTAGCTCCTCTCTGTTGCAGTTCTTTCCCTAGCAGGAACTCTACAAAAGAAACTTCACCAACTTCTAGAAAGAGCACTTTCCAGGACCCTGGCTTTCTCTGAGTCCCGCTCGTTAATGTCACTCCAGATCTTGCAGCACTTCTTTCCCTTCTGTAGGTGCAGGTCCATGTCGTCTGCCTGATTTCCATGCTTCTGACTTCTCTGTGCTGCCCACCCGTGTCCACTGCTTCTTTGATCACTGTTCAAACCTTAAACCTGTGCCATTGATTTCCATTTCTCGTCTTTGACCCCATGCTTCTAAACCTTTCCTAAGGTTTCTTGGGTTGCCTCGTTTCCCTGCTAGCCTATCTAGCTGTCATACCAGAAGCAGCTACTTACTGTTACGTCCATGAGAATAAGTATTTTCTCAACCGATCTGACTGATACTGGAAATTATTTTCTGTACTATTTCATATGTACATATATATATTCCTCCCATGTAAATGTACATAAACATTTTTCTCCATGGGCTTTTAAAATTTCTTCTCCTCTTCACTGGATTCCTTGATTTCACATCTACTGTCTTCATTTGCTGTGTGTGTGGAGCTTGTCCCGGATCCCAGAGCTCCCTAAGGCATCTGCAATGCCTCTGCCGCTCCTTGTATGGCATCTGGCACGGAGCATCACAAGCGGCACCCTGGGTCTGAGTGCTGGCCTGCTAAGGACGGGAACAACCAGTGGCTTCTGGTGCTTGGTTCTGTTTTCAGCTTTATGAATGGCCAAACACATTCAGGTTAAGAATAAACTTTCTAAGGAAATGCTTTGTATGTAATAACAAACGACTTTTAAGTTCTTTCCATTAACAAATGCAACAGAATTTGAGCCACCTTAATCCAAAAATTAATACTATTTCAAAATCTGATAGTTTTGAGTGCCACTACAAAACAGGCCAACCACCCCTGGCTTTGTGTGGTGTCAAAGCTCAGGCACATTAAAAAGAGTATTTAAGATTGCCATCAGGCTAGATACATAATTGTATGTAAAAGAAATGAATTTATATTTATACTTAGGTCCCACCCATAAGAGATCTCATTATCTGTTTGCAAATATTCTAACATTGGGGGAAAAAATGAAAAATTTGAAATACTTTGGCTCCCAAGCATTCAGATAAGAGTGCATAATCTGCTCTCACCTTTTCATCAGCAGAGATGCGCTTAGAGTCACAACTGCCGGCTGCTGCAAAAACTAGACCCTAAGAATTAGTAAATGAAAAGCAAACATGCTGTCAGTCAGAAATAGTGTAATGATCCTCAGCTGTGAACTCCCTGCCTGTAGTACTCAGTGTTTAAGACCTGAGGTGGATACACACTCCCTCTGACTGCATGTTGCTTGTTGGATTCTGTGATTGAAAACTCGCATATGATTTATACTGTGAATCTTATTTAAATGTACATAGGGTTCTGGCCCCTGTGCTCAGGCTCTTCTTTAAAATCACAGTTGAGTAGCTGTGGTTTTGTTGCCCAGAAAGATGCGACTGTGAAGTAGTGGGGTAGGAGCTCCAACAAATGGAGTAAGAGTTAAAGTCCAGGAGGCTCCTTCCCTTAGAAGCAGTCACCTGGGTAAGCTATGCGTTTATCCCAGGGAGCTGCCTAACAGTGGCTTAAGGATGGAGTGGGATGCCTCCCCTTAATCTTCTTTTGTAACGCTAAGAACCATAAGGAGTAAGAGGGTACATTATTATAAATATCCCAAACTGTGGCAAAGATGAATTTGGCTTGAAAATGGAACCTTTTATAAACAAAGTCCAAGAATATGTGTAGTGAATAAATATATGGAGTCATAATTGAGAGAGGGATGACGGTATGAATTTTCTGGAATGACGCATAAACTTGCTCTGAAAGTGGCTGTTGTGAACATTTCATGACTCTGACCTTGGAATAGGTAGATAAGCTCCCAAGGTAGCTACTGTGGAATGTAATGTTTGTTTAGGTGGAAAAGAAACAATGTGTGCATGTTTGCAAAATAAGATCAGTTTTATTACTTTATAGACATACCTTGTAGATGAAAAATATACTCCTATCATGGAACTCTTTATAAGCAAACTTCTGAATGTAAGTAGAATTTCTGTCTCATCCTTTTTAAGTCTGTTGAGAAATCTGAATTTCTAATAACTACTTTGAAAAAAAATACCGTTGAATCTTTTCTAAAAGCAGATGCTTTTGCGTTTCTCTTCGCTTCTTTTGGATTAGCTTTGTACCTCTGCTAGTCAGTTTTTTATTTAGTGTATCTATCTTTGTTCCCCTGAGAGACTCAAAATGTACTTTCTTGCTGTTAAATTATCATCAAGCTATTGAACCTAAGTAGAAAGGAGCATCTATGCCCTTGGCTGTTAATTGTTCCATGACACTGAGAACTCTTTTGCATTGCTTGTGGCAAGTGCCTTTCCTTTTTTTTTAATAAATGGGTCCCTCATATTTTGGTAAACAAAAGCATCAGTTAATTTAAAGGTGCAAATTTTAAAATGTAAGCTAAAGAGCGTTTCATCTCTGGAGTGTCCATCGTGCTTGTCACTCTCACTAATGGGAGAGTCCCCCAACATATAGTGCATGCTCCAGCCATGGTGAGGGCCCAGCAGGCCTCACGGGCAGAGCATGGGGAGAGAAGCTAATGCATACTGCTTGGCTTGGGGCTTTTCGGCATTGATTTCACTGCGTCCATCATTGTCCAGGTCAGCCAGGCCCGTTTCTTCATTGCCGAGTTGAAACAAAAGTAAAGTGGAGCATGGGAGCCAAAGAAAATTGCTATCCTTTCTCAAAGAGGTGAAGACAGCTCAATTGCAACATATTTTAAACGTCAAATTTGACACATTTGATTGGAAAATTGTGTGACCTCTGCAGTTAGAGATCAAAACAGTCACCAGTTCATACTTTTTAAAAGTCATAGAGTGCTGTTTTCACCACAGACTGATAGAATATGATTTTATTCTGTCAGGTAGTAACTATTACACAAATGCCTATTATTTTGCAGTTTGGTGATTTAAATGCTGTATCTCCTGGAAATCTGGATAAAGGTAAGAACTGGAAACTTGTAAGGGCTTTTTGACTGAGAGGAAACAGCATAACTGTGGAACACTCTGATCCTCCGGACATAGCAAGTAAACCCTGTATGAAAACAGCATTCCAAAACAGTCTTTGGAATGCCTCATGATGTTGCTGTTGGTTTCTTCCATCCTCAAGTCTTCTACACGTGAAATGTATTGACTGTAGAATGTTGAATTTAAATGCAGTTCCAAACTTCTTTAAACTTCCTCCCAGAAATCCAGTATAAATAACAAATTCTTGACCATGACCAAACTCCTGGAGAAAGATTCTAAAATTGGACCAGAAGTTTTTAGTCAAGGCAAGAAAAAGATTCCTTACCTTACGATGTAGTCAGTCAACTTTTCCATAAAGAACTCAGAGGTAGCAGTGATGTTCACGGTAGAACCAGGATCATAGTACTTCAGTTGAGAAGGAGACGTAGATCTCAATGCTGGCCCTGCCAGCCTAGTGTGTGCTACTGTGTACACACGATGTGCACTCCTGAAGAAAATAATGATCAGTATGACAATCCAATAGGAGGGGCCGGGCGTGGTGGCACACACCTGGAATCCCAGCCCTTGAGGAGGCAGAGGCAGGCGGATCTCTGTGAGTTTGAGGCCAGTCTGGTCTATAAAGCCAGTCCAGGACATCCAAGGCTACACAAAGAAACCCTGTGTCAAGGAGGAAACAAAAAAGACAGGAGGGTGTAAGGTGAGCGAGTTGAGTGAGGCTAGAGACACAAATCCTCCCCAGCTCTGCAGGAACAGCTGTGAGGAGAACTGCAGTGCAACTTTAAGTCTTAACATCACAGAAAATACAGCTGTCTTCTGACTTGGGACCTGGATTTTCTAGGGAGAACTACAGTTACTCCTAACCAGAGCCTCTGAAGAAAGGGCTTGGGAGTCTGCAGAGAGATGCAGCACTGTCTTCCCAAGTGTGTAGCTCCAGGTTTCCCAGTGTGCCCCCTCTGTGTCTGATGAGCAGGAAGCGTTATGCTAGAGAGTGATGTTTGTATCATCACTCTTCAGATATCCCTCTCGGACAAGAGGCTTAGTATTGCTGTGCTTGGCTTAATTTCCATTTTAGTACCAGAACAGGAAAATGGGAAAGTTAGACTCTCCCAATGTGTTATTGTTTCAAAGACACAACCTGTGAAATTGCAGTAATAACCCTCAGAAAAATAAATGGATGATCACTCACCTCCAGCCTTCTTCATAAACTGAAGAATTAAAGAATTTGCTCAACCCGTTGTAGCTTTTGTACAACAAATTCCATAAACTCAAATGTCTATGACTTGCATGGTTGTCCTGAGGAACTGGGGAAAACGCTTGCCTTACAGACTGCTTTGTTGCCTAGCCTAAGGATCCCTGCCATGCAGAGATGACACAAGTCAGATAGATCTGGAGTTTGTCCAGACTGTTTACTCAGGGCTGTTTCCACCTGTAGCAAGATGGATAAAAGGACTTTCCATCCTCCCAGCCCTGTCCTGCTGACGGTGGGGTTTGTCCTCTTGCCACTGCTTGCTTCATACATGGTTTTGATGGCCTTTCCTTTTGGAGAGTGGAAGCTGGAACATGCAATCTGCTGTCACCTTGTTGATGGGACGCAGCTGGTTCTGTTTCTCCCTAACCTTTGGGCTATCCCAGGCTAAAAATGACACATGAAGTTTTGTGGGTTTTTTTTTTCCACAAAATGAGTTATATGTCAAATGTAATAAAATTTGGGAGTAAAACTAAATGTTTTATATCTTTAATTTCCAAAAATGAATTGAAAATATTTACAGCACTAATGTTGCCAGGCAGCAGGTCCTTTGTGCATTTCTTTAAATCTCGCATTACCACTTCAATATTTAGCTTTTTCTTAGCACATGAACTAAGAATTTATTCCCTGTGGCGTTTGCTGTCTATAGAACAGCAGTTGCACAGTAGCTAGATCTCAAGTCATGGTGTAGCAGTTACACTATGGGACAGCACAGGCCTTGTCTACATTAAAGCAGCATGGAAAAACATGGTCTGATTTTTGTGTATGCCCTTACCCCCAAGACCAGTATTGTGACATTATTTAATACATAAATTGTATATAAAATTCCAAACATCTGAAAGAACCGTGGCTGTCTCACTGTGGCACTGATGGGTGTAAGACCCCATGAGAGGAGAGCCTGCAAGTTCCCTCCCCTAGGGAAAGCTGAGGTACACTGGGGTGGTGGTGAAGCATGCACTGACGGCTGTTTCCCGTTTGTCCTCTGCTGGTATCTATTTGCGCAGATGAGGGCAGTGAAGTTGAAAGTGAGATGGATGAAGACCTGGATGACTCTTCAGAGCCTCAGGCCAAAAGAGAGAAAACAGAGCTGAGCCAGGCATTCCCAGTGGGCTGCCTGCAGCCCGTGCTGGAGAGTGGTGTGCAGCCCAGCCTCCTGAACCCCCTCCACAGCGAGCACATCGTCACGAGTACACAGACCATCAGGCAGTGCAGCGCCACGGGCAACACCTACACTGCAGTCTAACGGCAGGAAAGCAGGTTTCGCCGGCTCACTTCCCCCGATGGTACTGGGCTTAAGCTGAAATTCTAACAGGCCTGAAGGCTGACTGTTGTCAAAAGTCTATCTGTGCTGAACATTACCTTTTCGGAGTTGTGAAATGGAATGGGTGTATGTATTTTTCCAGGTCTTTTTTTTTTTTTTTTTTAACACAAATGATTTGCCTTTTAATAATAAGAGTTTCTCCCCGCCCCTTTTAGTTTCAGGTGTCAAGAAGGATTTTTACATTTAATGTCATTGTTTTTGTTTTCTCATAATTAAAAAGTAATTTGCATTTTGTAGCTTAAAATATTTTATTGTTGATTGTTAGTCTTGGTGTATGATTTTTATGTGTAAGATTTTTAATTAGATGCACTTCTGTGAAATATCAAAAGAAATGAATTTCTTTGATTTACACTGGAGGCATGCCCATTTGGCAGCAGATGCATCAAATTTGCTTCTGAAAGGTGCTTTTCATTGGACAGAACCATAAGACACTATTTTGATAACATTTTGGAGTATGGAGAGAATACAGAGCGTTTTTATTATAGTGGTAGAGGGTTGGGAAGGTCATCTATTTTTCTCTGAAAAAAATCAAGCTGTGCATTTATCAGTTCGGGGTAAATGACAGAATTGCAAGAGATTATGCTAATATGTACATAATTTGTGTACATAATTATTAAACCACATTAACAATGCAAGCTTCCGTTAGACGTTGACTTTTAACTATTATTTGCATACCAATTCCTCTGTTTAAAGACTACTGATTCTGTATTGGGACCACTGCACAGAGGCGTTCTGCTGTTAAGTGGGGCTGTTATAGTTAGATACTGAAACTGAAAAAAAAAATGACTTGACTTTTTTTTTAAGTGTATATGCTACTTATACTGAGCTGGACATACAGGAAACCATTCCATTTGGATGACTTTCTTCTATTCCAGGTCTTTTTTCTAATAGTAGTTCAATATGCTGCTATTATAAAAGAAAATGTATAGAATGCAAGGAATGTAGCGACCTGCCTATTGTTACTTCCTGGTCTCTAAAGTACATGGGTTTAAATTTTACACAGAACCTGAAGGCAGTGTGACTGGCACACCTCACTGTTGCTGACCCCGATTCTGTAGGATTTGGATAGGTGGCTGGATGGACCATTGCCATTGAAGAATGTACATCAGGGATCATCGTACCTCGGCTATTACATGGTGCCTTAAAAACAGAACTGAGCTAAGGTTTAGTAAGGTTTATTTTGTTCGTGTGAATAACTCTTCAATCCATTTGGTAAATTGTGCCTGTCGTGCTCGGATTTCTGAAATGAGGACAGGTCACATGTTCTTCAAGGGGAATTTAGGGGACAATGAAGCAAAACAAAGAGACAAAAACTTCAGTTTCTCGCTGAGTGACTGTGAGTGGACTTGTCTATGTTTTATCCTTGGAGCTGAATATCACTTGATTACAAATCAGATTGCTAAGGGTGTGGACTAACAGGCTAGTTTTCATACAAATATGTCACATGAAGATCATGTTGTAGACAATTCTTATCTAGTTACAATTCTAGAAAGCTAACAGCATAAGCAGGTACTTATTGAAGTGCATCTTTTCAGTCTAAATGTCTGTCTGTGTGTCTGGGTGTCTCTGTGTACACGCACGCTCACACACACACACACCCATATACTCATATACTCACACATGCCTGCACGCACATGGAGCAGGAGTCTGCTAAAGTCAGAGATCCTTAAGGCTCATCCCATTTTTCTTTGCATGACAAGCCAAGGTTCTTTTCAGTACTCAAACTATCAACAACAACAAAAATAGGGCACATCCTTTCGTTTAAGTAATTATAAAATTAAATGGGTAAAAGTCAATAAAGAATTAAATGAATAAAGCCAAAAAAGGAAAGGGAAGCACAAAATGAAATATGGATCACTACTGAGGCCTATATTAAACTGAAGACTTCATCTTTCCAGTTGGGTTGGGTGAGGCTTATGGTTAAAGAAAAGAGGCAGCTCCAATCTGGAAAGTTAAAAATACCAAATGGCTTATCAGGAAACACAGTCTATTGAAACTGTTATTGCCTGATTGTCTCAACCTTCTGAAAATCAACAGCATTTCATAAGTAAATGTCTTAAATATGATTTTTAATGGATTTAGATTTTGTATCAAGCAACTTACTCATGTTTGAGCCTTCACTGGCATCCAAGCATCACTTCAATACTGAGGACCCCGAAAGGCAATGAATTTGCAATCCCCTCCCCTGCATAATCCATCATAAGCTACAAAAGACCATGGATCTACTTCATTGTGAGTTAGAAAATGTTTACACATAAAACTGAAATCACAAAATAGCTCACTTCATCTTGATTTTCCCTCTGAGATCTTTGAGTTTCCTGTCTCTGTCTGTCATCCCCAGATGACATCATGTCTGTATTGGACCAAATGTATTTACTGGTTTCACTGTGTTTGTTGGCTGATTTTTAATGTATGTGTATCATGTTTTCATTTAATTTAGTGTTGGAGATATCATGAGAAGAATCTGCTAACAATGGACAGATGTAGATTCATAAGACTGAGGGACTGATTGGCCCTCCAGAATTCAACATTTCTTCCAGTTGTTCATGGTTTGTTCTAAATTAGGACAGAGTAGAAAGTAATAAATATTGTTATGGTTGAAACTGACTCTAAAATATTCTGAAATCTTTTACAAATATTCAGGAACATTAATCCTTTTACACCAGTGTAGATAGCTCTAACCAAAACACACAAGGAATACCTATAGCTTGTTACTCTTCTAGTTATTTGTAGTGCATTGCACACACAGTCAATTTTGGACTTGAATTGTGAAATATATTAGAAAAACAAAAACAGTAATTTATATGCAGGCATAAGTTAAAACAATCACATTTGTTTTAGTCACCATTTTTCTTTCCATTTTCCCATTTGTTGAAACTGGCTTTTCTAAATGATATCAGCCACTGACCGTCTCATGGTAGACTTACTGACATAGTACTCATTTTAAGGACTTGCTGGTATTTCTTGGCATTGTAATCAAATGCTAGGCTTGAAATACATGTATACGAACCAAGTGCTATCCTTCTAGTGAGGAAAAGGGAAGGGAGGTGCATGAGCTATTGGTACATTTCAGAAGAGAGATTTCCATTTAATACAACTGAGTATCGGAGGTATAGTTTTATATTGGCAAATATTTTAAGAATTATAGCCAAAAGATTTATGCTTCCAAAACCAGTGAACAATGGGTGGAATGGGTGGACTTCTTCTGGGAACACAGGGCCCAGTTTCTGCTTTTCCCTTTGGATACTAAGTTACTAATAACTTCAGGATTTGCATCCAAGTCACGTTTGAATTGACTGTATGAGTCTTACTGCCTTTTTAGAAATCTGCGTTGTTTTGTTTTGTTTTGTTTTGTTTTTTGTGATTTTCCTTGTACTGTATAGCACGGTTCATGCACCTCTCTTTAGATGGTGTACTTTAAAAACAGAAGTAAAATACACAAATGGTTTTCTCGCTGCATACCTAAAGTTAGTAGTGTGCAACATTAACTGCCTTTGATTTGTGCTGTAGACGTCAGTCAGGAGTGACCACAGCTTCCATGCTGTCACCGTGGGCCTTTCCACATGGACACACTCTCTACAAGAGCTAAATGCATTTTTAGTCTTTGAAATACTATTATCATTATTGACATTACTGATATTATTTGAAATGTCTAGAATAACGCTGTGCTTAAACTATCCATGTAAAAGAAAACAAGTGTGTCGCTGTGATGGTGCTCATTGCATGGACACAGCAGGAAGTCAAAAACTTGAGTAGTCACATTTCTACACAAGGTAAGGCAGTGGCTATATACGACAGATTGACTTCGTCATAACCTCCCTTCCCCAAATTCTTTTGAGCAAATCACAACCATCCAGAAGCTAAAATCAGAACTTTGTTGATCTGCGCGGAGCACATCAGAGCCTGGGGGAGGAGGGCTGGCATGCAGTGCTTTCAAACACTGGGCTGTGACTGGATGAGAGCAACCTCCATGAACGCGGTAGAACAAACCCGTTAACAGAACCCTAGTACTTCTGCAACTCTGGTGATTTTAAAAGACTGGAATTGAAGCATGAATTCAGTGCTTAGTTCTAGTACTAGAAAAGCCCTTTGCTGTAATGCCTTGTATTAACCCTTTGAGCATTGTAAGATATACAATGGGGGATGAAAGCCTTTCAGATCATTTATTTAGACTTTAAAAAAGTAAAATAGCCTCTATATCCAAATGTCTAATTACGCTGTTTTTTAAAGGGGGGGAGGGGTCAGAAAAGAAAGTGTCTCCATGTCGAACACTTGCATTTTATATACAACTCTTAATTTTCCTTCAAGAGGGCTTGATATATTTATTCCCAAATATTCACTGCCATCTAAGTAAGTGTACTGTTTACAGAAGACAAAATCAACTTGTCTAGCATCACATGACTCTCTAGAAAAAGGAGAACACATACGTGGGCCCGTGCAGGCCTATGTTGTAACTGATTGCTGATCACTCGAGGTACCTGATTGCCTTTAAAGGGTATGATAAAACAAAGGGTTACATTTCTTCTTTTTTTCCCCCAAAACAAATGATCTCATTTATTTAGCTTTAGAAAGTACAAGTGTAAGCGAAGCCTTAGGAAGGAATGAGTTCCTTAAACACAGCTGAACTCTGAGGTACTTAGGATCTTTGGAGTTGCATCAATCATAAAATCTTGTTTGGAAGTTCATACAGGGCATAATTTTATCTATGCTCCAAAACATTAATACTTGTCATGAGACATAGAGATGCAGAATGGTGAGCGAAGCACACCCCTGCTTTTAGCTCTTCTGCCCGGCGATGCTGTGACAGCTGCTTCAGATATCTCCGAATGGCATTCTGCTGACAACATTGCTGATTTCTTTGAGGGAATTTCTGGACAGTTGATCTGGTCCTCCCCTGGGTGACAGAACAGGGAGCAGTGTTGTCCTCAGACGTGCTCACGATGCCCTTGCTGGGCGTGAGCAGGAGCGTACCCTATTCTGATGTCTGCCGACATCCATAGCATAGTGCAAGTGTCCGTACATTGCTTTTTAGGCAGTTGAGGAAGTCAGACCATGCAAATTACTCATGTGTTAACTAACATGCAATACTCAAAGGGTTTTACTTTAGCTCTCTTCTTTTGACTCTTCATGATGATTTACTGTAAATGCTTCTCAGTTTGCATGCCTTGCCCAT